GGGATATAGTTTGGAACCTTACCTATCTACTATGATGCATGTGATGTATGAGATCCTGACATGTAGAAGTAGCTCAATGGAGTTTACATGTATCATTATTTTCATATTATGTGCTTCCGATGAGGCCCCATATGTTATATACAACAGGTTAAATGTTCATTTTCGAACGGGTCATGCCCAAACTTTTAGGGGCAGGTTTGAGGGCGTGACACTAGACCTGTGAGAAGTCGTTTCAAGAGCTTAAGGTTAGACTTACCACCACTCCAGTATTGATCATTCCGGAAAAGGTTTGGGCTATTTAATGTATTATGATGTTTCACGGGAATGTTTGGGTTATGTATTGATGCAAGAGGGAAAAATAGTAGCTTATGGCTCACGGTAGTTAAAAACACATGAGAGGAACTACCTTACTCATGACCTAGAGTTAGTATCAGTGATCTTTGCCTTGAAAGCCAAATGTTTCAAGGGCTCAATGCCAAATTTTTCAAGGGCTTAATGCCAAATGTTTCAAGGGCTCAATGCCAAATTTTTCAAGGGCTTAATGCCAAATGTTTCAAGGGCTCAATGCCAAATTTTTCAAGGGCTTAATGCCAAATGTTTCAAGGGCTCAATGCCAAATTTTTCAAGGGCTTAATGCCAAATGTTTCAAGGGCTCAATGCCAAATGTTTCAAGGGCTTAATGCCAACTTATTCAAGGGCCTCGTGCCACCACGTTTAAGGGCCTTGTGCCACTACATTTAAGGGCTTATAGCCATCATGTTTCTAGATATTATGTTTCAAGCTATTACGTTTCAAGAATGGGCCTAAGGCCGTTATAAAATCAATACAGAATCAGACAACTATGTGAACTCTGTCTTTTTATATGCTTTGGTATTATGTTCAAGTTAAGCATTGTTTCATTTATGTATTACTATTCACTGAGCCTGGCTCACTCTGTGTTATGTCTGTTTCTGTAGGTAACCAACCAGGTGGTCAGTCCTAGCCATGAGACCCGTTTTCTTTTGTCAACCTTCGTGGGTTCAGGCACTGCATGAGACCATTTATTTTGTAAAATCTGTTAAGATGTTGGCTTACTTTTGATTGTCCACCCAAGGTTGAATGTATAAAACTTTAATGTTTTTTTGTATGTGCCCAATTATAGGGCTGAGACTATATATGTAGTTGTATACAACCGATGCTCTGGAATATAGTTTGGAACCTTACCTATCTACTATGATGCATGTGATGTATGAGATCCTGGCATGTAGAAGTAGCTCAATGGAGTTTACATGTATCATTATTTTCATATTATGTGCTTCTGATGAGGCCCCATATGTTATATACAATAGGTTAAATGTTCGTTTTCGAACGGGTCATGCCCAAACTTTTAGGGGCAGGTTTGAGGGCGTGACACTAGACCTGTGAGAAGTCATTTCAAGAGCTTAAGGTTAGACTTACCACCACTCAAATATTGATCATTCCGGAAAAGGTTTGGGCTATTTAATGTATTATGATGTTTCACGGGAATGTTTGGGTTGTGTATTGATGCAAGAGGGAAAAATAGTAGCTTATGGCTCACGGTAGTTAAAAACACATGAGAGGAACTACCTTACTCATGACCTAGAATTAGTAGCAGTGATCTTTGCCTTGAAAATTTGGAGGTAGTATTTGTATGGTGAGAAGTTTGCAGTATTTTCTGATAGTAAGAGCCTAAAATATCTATTTACATAGAAAGACTTGAATCTGAGGTAGATAAGGTGGTTGGAGTTTATAAAAGATTATGACTTTAAGTTGTATTATTATCTGGAGAAGTCCAATGTTGCGGCCGATGCCTGAAGTAGGAAATCCATTGGCAGCGTAGCTGGAATTGCCATTCAAGATAGGAGATGTTGGATGCTATTGGTGAGTTTGACTTGCATCTTGGCGAGTCCGTTAAGTCTACAGCTTTGTTTTCAGTAGTTGCACAACCTACACTTGTGAGCTGAGTGATAGAAGCGCAAAGGGGTAACCGTAAGGTAGAAACCCTCTAAGAGAAGATCTCTAGTGGGAAGGTAGAGAAAGGTTTGAACGTATATTCTGACTCGAGTGTTAGATATCTTGATCGTCTTTTCGTGTCAGAGTCCTGTCGAGAAAAAGTACTCCGAGAGTTTTACCACTCACGCCTTGCGATGTACTCAGGAGGCACAGAGATGTATCATGACCTTAGTCGTCAGATTTGGTGGAAGGGTATGAAGAAGGATGTGGCTGTGTTTGTGTCAAGGTGCCTTACTTGTCAATAAGTGAAGGCCAAGCATCAGAGGCCAGTGAATTTGTTGCAACCCTTGCCTATAGCCGAGTGGAAGTGGGAATATGTCACGATGGATTTTTTTGTGGGTCTTCCGAGGACTCAACAGGATAATGACACCATTTGGATGGTAGTTGATCGATTGACCAAGTCAGCGCATTTTGTACCTATGTGCACAAGTGACTCGGTATGTTATCTAGCTGGCCTTTACATTAAGGATATAGTGATGTTGCACGGGGTCCCTGTAATGATTGTTTCAGATAGAGATCTTTTGGATAGAGATCCGCGTTTTACAATTTATTTGTGGTAGAGCCTACAGAATGCCTTGGGTGCAAGATTGATTTTTAGCACTGCATATCATCCTCAAACTGACGGGCAGTCAGAGTGCACCATTCAGATTCTAGAGGATATGCTTTAGGGTTGTGTTCTTGACTTTAAGGGGTCATGGGAGAGGCACTTGCCCTTAGTGGAGTTTGCCTACAACAATAGTTTCTAATTGAGTATTGGTATGGCACTGTTTGAGGCCGTGTATAGCCGACCATGTAGGTCTCATGTGTGTTGGGTCAAGGTAGGTGATACACCTATGTTGGTTCCAGAGTTGGTCCAAAAAACAACGGAGAAAGTTGCACTTATCCGTAAGAGGTTGGTCATAGCTCAGAGTCGTCAAAAGAGCTATGCCGATCGTAGGAGGAGACCGTTATCCTTTGAGGTGGGAGATCATGTTTTCTTAAAAATATCGCCTAGACGGGTTTTGATGAGATTTGGGAAGAGTAGGAAGTTGTCTCCTAGATTTATTGGATCTTTTGAGATCCTAGAGTAGATTGGGGAGGTAGCTTATCATTTGGCCTTGCCGCCATAGCTTTCCGGGGTTCATGACGTGTTCCATATCTGTATGCTCCGGAAGTATGAGATGGATCCATCACACGTGTTGGATTGGATGGAATTAGAGGAGAGACCGATTAGAGTTTTAGATACTCGAGACCAAGTCTTGCGAGGCAATACGATTCTGTTGGTAAACGTGTTGAGGAGAGACTAGTTAGTGTTTTGTTTAGTTCTTTATTTTTGATTGAAACACAACCGATCAGGTAGTTTCTTTACCAATCTACCCATCTCTAGTATGCGCTACTATTGCCACCACCAAAACAAAGCCACTGTTTATCGTCGATTACCACTTTGGTTCATTAATGATCATATGGGCTTTGTCGCCGATCTCATCCATCTCTTCGACAGCACACTGTTTGTAAAAGCTTCCATTATAACAACAAAATGATTGTTATAATATAATTGACTACTAAAAAAAGAACAAAGATATTTCACTTTTGGAATTTTCAGATTGTATGACACATATACAGAGTTTTGATAATATATTCAAATCAAGAATTGAAATTTTGTGCATGAAAAAGATTCAAAAACTTTTAAACTCGAATTCTAAAAATTCCACAAGTGGAGAAGAGAGAGAGGTTGTTGGTAGAGATGTTAGGGTTATGAAATTAAAGAGAAGAGAGATAAACGTAAAGTAGAACTAAACTAACCTTCTTTAAAATCTAACTTCAAGAGTGAGAACGAAACCCTTAGGCGATCGGAGATGGGTGGTGTGCCTAGAATCAGTCAGAGGAGAGAATTATGGCGATTAGGAATGGGTGGTGAGGTGGTGAAATTGGAGAGAGGGCTTGTAGCTGCCGAAGTCGAGAAGGTCGTAGGTGAGCTGCGGTGGGAGAGAGGTTAAGAGGGAGGAAAAGTAGATCTAAGAGGAAGGAAGAAACTAAAGAGGAGGTCTGGTGCCAATGGTGAGAGAGATTAGAAGTAGGATAGTGAGAGAAGAAGCAGTGAGAGGGAATTTGTCTAGGTGAAGCAAATTCGAACTGTTGAATCTTCGGCCATATTTCTCAGCCATTGATAGTAAATGACATGTAGGACAAATTTGCCACGTTAGACAAACTTCAAAAGCCCTCCTACCTTATTAGATAGATATATATATATTTTCCTGGTAGAAATGGCTGCATCTTAATTTTATTGTAAATTCGTTATTCTTGCCTTATATAGAATACCTTACCATTATATATATATATATATTAGACCAAGTTGGAGCATATATGGGCACCAACCAATCATTTCCTACCACCATCTATAAATTGCCTAAAAATATTACACATTAAATCTGATAAACTTACACTGTCATGAAGGATTTAGATGCTCTCTGTACATGATTACAATGGAGATTCTCATTAAAATGCATATGATTACAACATATCATTAAAATTTAATATCAATGGTCTATAGTTTTATGTTATTTTGAATCCTAAATTTTTTTTGGGAGGCACAATTTTCACTTCCATTATATGAATTTATAATTACTTTTCCTATTTGTCATTTATATGCGAAATTCTCCTTACATATCATGAATTATCTGAATAATTGATTTTTAGAAATACGAAAACTGATGTCACAACATGACATTGAATTCATATGGATGGACAAAAATTTCATAACCGAGTCCCACTAACAAATTCTATAAATTTTATTTGTTTATAAGTATTTTGATAAGTCTAGATATACAAAAATAAAAACATGATACAAAATGATATGAACAGACAAGATTAATGAAAAGTGACCGAGTAACTAACAAATTTTTACATAAGAAAGTACAAGAAATTTAAAAGAAGTAATCACCTGTATGCAAGTGTAACAATCCATCAATGAAGTTTTTACCATCATGGACAAGCACAAAACAATCAAATCACCTCCCACCATGCAATATCATATCTTCCACCATGCTATCAACCCTAGCTGTTGTTGTGTTGCTTCTATAACCTCCAACTACATATCCAGTTGATGCCTTATCAAGCAAGTACTCAATCTCTGAAGAATTCAAATCATTTCTAGATGTCTTTTTCTTGATCAACCCCTCCAATTCCATCGCTACTTCCTTCATATAAGGCCTTTCCTCCCCTTTTACTCTCAAGCATCTCTTTGCAAGATTAGCAACTTCTTTGAGCTCCTCAATGTTTCCTTCAATTACCATGTGTTCATCAATAATTTGGTTCAAGCAATCATTGTTCATACAAGTAATAAAATACATAGCCAGATTTCTCTCCTCTTCTGGCCTGTTGAATGACAATGCCTTCTTTCCAGTGATTAACTCTACAAGGACTACTCCGAAGCTGTAAACATCACTTTTCTCAGTCAACTGGCTTGTGAACATGTATTCAGGATCTAAGTATCCAAGAGTTCCTTGTACCACTGTGGCTAATTGATTTTGGCCTAGGGGAACAAACCTTGATGCTCCAAAGTCCGACACTTTAGCTATGTAATTATCGTCTAAGAGTATATTTGTAGACTTAACATCTCTATGGATGATAGGAATTGATGCTGCAGAGTGCAAATATGACAACACTCCAGCAGTTTCAGCAGCAATTTGCAAACGATTTTCCCATGATATATTAGATGCATTTGCATGAAAAAGATTCAAAAACTTTTAAACTCGAATTCTAAAAATTCCACAAGTGGAGAAGAGAGAGAGGTTGTTGGTAGAGATGTTAGGGTTATGAAATTAAAGAGAAGAGAGATAAACGTAAAGTAGAACTAAACTAACCTTCTTTAAAATCTAACTTCAAGAGTGAGAACGAAACCCTTAGGCGATCGGAGATGGGTGGTGTGCCTAGAATCAGTCAGAGGAGAGAATTATGGCGATTAGGAATGGGTGGTGAGGTGGTGAAATGGGAGAGAGGGCTTGTAGCTGCCGAAGTCGAGAAGGTCGTAGGTGAGCTGCGGTGGGAGAGAGGTTAAGAGGGAGGAAAAGTAGATCTAAGAGGAAGGAAGAAACTAAAGAGGAGGTCTGGTGCCAATGGTGAGAGAGATTAGAAGTAGGATAGTGAGAGAAGAAGCAGTGAGAGGGAATTTGTCTAGGTGAAGCAAATTCGAACTGTTGAATCTTCGGCCATATTTCTCAGCCATTGATAGTAAATGACATGTAGGACAAATTTGCCACGTTAGACAAAATTCAAAAACCCACCTACCTTATTATATATATATATATATTCCTGGTAGAAGTGGCTGCATCTTAATTTTATTGTAAATTCGTTATTCTTGCCTTATATAGAATACCTTACCATAAGGATTATACATTGGCATGCATGCCTTGCCTCTTGATCAAGTGATAGAGGTTGGGCCATTTGTTTGTTTAAGTGCATTTCATTCGACATTGAAATGGCACACTTGGTTTCTTGGGCCATCACGCATTGAAATACGCAATTGATGGTCCGAGAATCGAGGACCATCATTCTTTGAGTCATAAACATGATAAGGAGTGTGGTTGGTGCAAACATTGCTTAAAATACATTGCCATGCCATGTTTTGCCCTCTGCTGCTGTCGAAACAGGTTGCTGCAGGAAGCTTTGGCCAGCCGGCCATCTATATTGCCGACCGACCAATTATTGATGGCCGAGAGCTTAACAAATTGTCGATGACCATCCGGACATGGTCGGTGGGGTTTCCACTTGGTCGGTGGTGATCCACAGTGTCCATGGAGCATACCTTGGGATTTGTGCAATTTTCAGAGGAGCATAACAGGGGAAACAGAGGCAACTTGTGCATGGCAGTGGACTTCCGAGCGGAACCGAGCGCCCATGCATTGGGCCTTCTTCCCGAGGCTTCTTTTAATGTTTAATTAGCTTAGTTAATTTGCTTAACTAGTTAATTGTCTGTAATATTTAATTAGCTTGTAGGTTAGTTAAATCTGTATTATTCTTTCGGTCCCTCCGAGCGACGGCGAATTTGTAATAAGTGTGGGTGCGTGTGTGCATGTCTTCCAACCCCCACTTCTTTCTCCCTTTTACTTACCTGCTTTGATGGTTAGTATTAGGACATATTTAATTTAGCATCCTTATGCTATGCATGTGTGCATCATTCATCAGTATTGCATGCATCAGGCTCGGCGCATCATACTAACTGCATAGTATTTCAAATCTAAACTTGAATATGTGCATCAAATGGTTGCATTTCACATGCCATCCTAGGATTAGCCGAGCCTATCCTAATTGCATTCTGTATGCGCTATATTAGGCACTTAACATGGACTTGGATCATACATTGATTGCTAACGAGTTCTTTGTTTTGGCTTGGAGTACACTGTAAGTATTTTGTGCTTTAGCATCTCGCACGAGTGTGAATGTTAACATGATAGCATGCTTACCATGTGGCTAGATGCTTATGTGATATGAACTGCCTGAATGCCTGTGGGTGACGGTTGGATTGCTTAAGTTGGAACAACTCCTCAAAATTCGTGTTTTAACCTACTCGCGAGTAGCAAATTTCAAAACATTTTCCAAACAAACGGACATGCGATGCTTTGTTCCAAATTAGGCGATCTAGTCTATACTTGTTTTGTTGTGCGCATCACATAGTAATTCTAGCTAATTAAACCGGAATAAGAACACATAACGTTTTCAAAATTGGATATCATGGTTAGTAGAGGCCGATCTTCGGATCGGGCGAGAGGGGGTGCTCATAGCTGACCTTCCCCAATCGTACCCAAGTCCCCGAGCCGAGGCAACTTTGGTCATGACGGACATGTGGCCTTAGGCAAACGAGTCAGGGTTTCCTAAATTCCCCCATTAAAAAAAATTTAGGTGGCGACTCTGTATCTGGCAAAGCAGTCCATGTTTGGCACTTCTTTTCTAAAAATCAGTTTTCTCAAAACGATTTGCCGGATTTGGACTCTTTGGTTCAGATTAAGAACCGTGATAGAAAATGGAGTCCGAACTGTGGTGGCATAAAGCCCGAGGGCGCGTCCACAGTGTCTGGCGACTCTGCTGGGGAGAATTGGAGAACTTGACTCGAACTCATGATATCTTGTTTTGACTATACTTATGTGTTTCTTTGCATTACATGTGCATTGGTGCACCTAGGACACCGTGTTTGCCATCTGCCATTCCTGAACGGTTTGCCGGAGGCTTGTCTTGTCAAGACATGACCATAAGGCTGATCGGTTATGGGCTCTTACAGTATGGGAACACAAACCCCGATTTTACCGGGGCACCCCTTTTGACCATTCGACCTAGTGCATATTCGGAATCCATAATGACCATTTCAAGCTAGGACAGGTTGCTTACCCGATGTTAGGTTGTTTGAAACCGCTGTGTGCATAGTGAAACCCTAGCTCCTAACAAAATAGGATAGGGAAATCCTACCCCAACATAGGGGTGTTTTGGCTCTCTCTTACTTGTTATGTGCTTTTAGAATGTATCTCTGTAGGAACGTACATACCAGTTTGCAAGTCTGGGGCATCAGGCCTAAGGGCATCAGTATCAGAATTTGAGAATCAGTTATATCCGCAGGTATCAGATTCGGTGTTTCGAGGCAGTGATTTTGCGGAACAGTGATCAGTAGTAGAGTACAGTTATTCAGCTACGCTTGTGTCTGTTCAGTTGGGCTGAAATGCTGTTTGCTTTCCCTTTCAGTTCAGAGATTTGGGTTCAGAGATTTGGTGTTCTTCCTTGCTGAGGCAAGATAGATATCGGATCCATCGATCACCAACTGCATCATCTCCGTTCAGTTCAGCGGACTTATGATGACGCAGAGTTCAGGAGAAATCGTGGTTATGGCAGTTGCACTGGACCAAGGAACCATCTTGCGGAATGAGCCCAATGTCGAAGTAGCACACCCGCCCAGGTCGCCTGCTGCGTGCCCGATCTGGGAACCCCAGATGTTTCAAGTCCATGAACCTACCATGTTTGAGTTAATGGGAATGATCGGCAACCTCCAGAGATCTGTGGCCGATCTGGCCTATGGAATGTCGGCTTCGCCACCAGCCACATCATATGTCGGGAATTTTGTACCATAGGAACCCTCGCTACTGGGGAGAATCGTGATCGAACTCAGCCAACCTGAGGTTGTTTCAAGCTGTAACCGTGACATGCCAACAACAACCAAGTTTCGATCTGATGTAGCAACCCAAACCCTCGATCAGGCTGAGGCTAGAGGTAAGAATAAAGTAGGAACATGTGCTGACCCTGCTGAGCAACTGCTGTGGGCGGTCGAGGCTTTGAAAGCCGGGGGGATGAATAAGCAGCAAGTATTCGCAGTCATAACTAAAGCTGTGGATGATGCTTTCCCCACTCCAGCCGAAGGCAGTTCAAGCCAGGTAGAAAATTGGGATAGGCCCGTCATACCAAGACAGTTCCTTTCATTCCCAACCCTGCACCAAGAAAAGATCAGAAAGCCGAGGCAGTGCCTGCCGACCCTTTTGCTAGTGTATCTAGTAAGAACCCTTAGACTTCGAAGTACCTGCCTCGAGGGCTCAGAGTCTTTCATGCCCTCTACATGCCTTTGTCTAGGGCATTTTAAATTTTGGCTAAAAAGGGGCACCTTAAACCCCTCGAACCTCGACCTCTTTCGAAGAATCTCCCCCTCACACATGATGCTGCCTTGTACTGCGCATACCACCAACAGTCCGGTCACAGCACCGATGGTTGTTTCCGCCTTCGTCATGAAGTGTAAGATTTGATCGACAATGAGGTCATCCTCCCACCTACCTCAACAAAGTCTGTTACCACTGAGTTGTTGGACTTCAAGGATACTGCAAGTATGTGATCAGGGATTGGACCACCTGTGGGCGGCGCCCAGTGTATTTCAGATGTGGCGTTTGGCACGCACTGTTGGAAGCATTTGCGAATGCAGTTTTGTAATTTCTGGCTTGGGTGTCAAGTCAGCTCTTTGTTTTGTTTTGGGGTCTGTCTCATCGTCTTGAGTCAGTTCTTTTTGCTTAAGGGTCTGTCTTGTCGCGTCGAGTCAGTCCTATTGTATAGAAGTTAGGTGATTCTGGGGTTGTTGCCTTGAACACCCTTTTGTTTTGTAATTACCTTTTTGCTTTCTTTTGAGTCTATCTCTGCCGTGGAGCCAGTTGCAACCAGGAGATCTGAATGAAACAGCTGTGGCTGTCATGTTTTGTACTTATTGCTGCTTTGAGCCAGTTGTGCCGACAGATCTGAATGAAAAAGCAGTAATTCCCACACTCTTGTGTTTGCTTCTGTCGTGTGCCAGTTGTACTAGAAATTCTAAATGAGACGGCAGTATTTGACTAGGAGCTGTGTCTTTTATGTGCCTTGAAATCATTGCACTGACCTAAGTTTTTCAAAACCTTTTTGAACACTGCGGTGAAAACAAAGGGGAAGGAATTCCTCAGGATTTGCAAAACTTTGATCATTCGAAAGAAAGAGAGGCATGCTAAGCCCTTAATGATTGAAATCATGCTTGTCAACGTGAGTACTGAGAAGGACCCTGGCTTGATCCAGATTGGTTCCACACTATCTTCAGCACGAGCGATTTATCGCTTTCTTAAAAACTTTCAAAAACAAAATGTTTTGCACAGTCCTGCGAAGACCTGTGTGGAATCGCTCTTGAGATTGTGTAGCTTAGGATCGCTCACATCCTCAAGACTTGAGCCCTTGCTTTAAAACCTTGAACCACAATTTGGAGTGTTCAACGATCGACCATCAAGAGACGCTTGTGTGGCCGAATTGGAAGCAACCCTCGAACAATAGGCACCAAAGTCAGATCAAGAAGATCAGATCTCATCAGAAGAAGCTTGTGAAGCTAGAACATAAGCACCCCTCCGACTAGGGGCAAAAATGTCTGATGTGCTCGAAGAACCGAAGATGGGTCCTTCAGCAAATCAATACAACAGTCATTTTTCTGGATTCAAATAACTTCAGGATCTCAAAACCATTTGGCATGGACTTGTTACACTTTTACCCTTCGAGAGGCTCGCTGGGCCGAAAACCCGGAAGGGCGACCCAGGCAAAAGTTAGAGCAAGAGAAAATACAAAAAAAAAAGAAAAAAAAATTCAAAAGAAATGAAAAGAGAAAAATAGAAAAAAGAAGAAAAAGAGAAAATGAAAGAATTAAAAAAGGAAAGGAGAACAAAGCTCGCAAGGTCGAAAACCCGCAACGGGTGCCTTGGCGAAAGTTAGAGCCTAAAAAGTGAAGGTTAATACCCGAGTGTATCTTAACCGGAACTACGTAAGGCTTGACTCCCATGTTTGGGATACGTAGGCAACTTCATCTTGAAATCCAGCCACCAACGCTTTCAAAGCGACTGTGTCCATATATTGGTTTTGACCATCTTCGTCTTCTCTGTATCCGAGAGCTCGGTTATGATCATCACTAAGGAGGACTGTTTACAAAATGCTACGGCGTCATCCAGACAAGCGGCAACTTTCCGTTGCCATGAGTCGCCATTCAAACCAGGGGCAACTTTCCATTGCCATTCAAAGCGCTGCGGTGCCATTCAGACAAGGGGCAACTTTCCGTTGCCATTCAAAGCGCTGCGGCGCCATTCAAACAAGGGGCAACTTTCCGTTGCCATGCAGTGTCCTTCAAAAAAGGGACAGTTTTCCTTCCGATCTGAGGTTGTACATCTCGAGAGTAAGTTCCGTGCTCGTTGAGCATTGACCGTTTGCAAAAATAGTTTTTGAAATTTTTTTACTGAGGTTGACTATTTTCTTGAAAACTATTTCATTTTCCAAAACTGGACCATTTTCTTGGACCCAAAAAGGAAAATTTTCAGTGCTCATAGCCTGACTTGCATGATTTTCAAATAAAAAATCGAACAAGTATGTTGATCTAACTCTCATCTTGGTCAAGACTGTTTTAGTAGGAAACCAAAAAAAATGGTCAAAATGATGAACTAGGGGCACAGTTGAGTCAAGTGTTCTGTCTTTCCCCCGTAGTCAACATACTTGCCAGAAGGGCACTCTATTCGCCAGAAGAAGGCACAACTGAAGCTGTCAGTAAATGGGCTGAAAGCCCTCAACCTCCTCCAAGCAACGAGGTATCAAACCAAGTGCGAAGCACGAACTGGAGTGGATCAAGGTACTCCGTTCCCTCATCCAGAACATTGACCAAACGCCACCAGAAGAAATAGCCGCGAACTAACCATATCGGGTGTGAACCCACAACTTCCTATTCATCCATCAAACACCCCGGGGAGGGATAAAAAAATGAGAGAATAAAGAATAGAGAGGTGTAAGTTGAGAGAAAAGCGAGCCAAAGGGTTTTGAGAGAAAAACTGAGCCTGAGAGCCGAGCGATATGAGAATCACACAAATGAGGAAGGGTGGGAAACAATACCCAGAGAAACTGGCTCCTCGTGATCTGAGGTCCCCCGTCTTCATTAACATGTCTGTATGTTGTGTCTTTTGTTTTGTTTACCTCAACCTTTATTTTGAGTCTTTTCCGAGTGTGTCTCGTTGTGTTTAGGTTGTTTACCTTTTGGTTTCCGCTGTTGAGTCGTTCTCGCTATGTCCAGTTGTAGGCTCACTACCTCGGTTTGAAAAACCCTTCTTCAATTTCAAAATTAATCATTTTGTGCTCAGAGTGCTGTGCCATTCTCCATATTTGTGCAAAAACATGATTTGGTTCTTTCATACAACTGCAAGGTCCACCCCCGATAAATGTGAATAGAAAAACTTGGGCTTCTCTGAAGCTTTTGGATTTCAGATTGCATCTGAGTGTGCTTCAACTTCAGCTGATCCCACCTTTGTATTCCGTCTTTTCAGATTGGACTGTTTGTTCAAGATTCGCTGTATGCAGATTAATTCCCAACAGAGTATGAGCCGAGTGTTCGGACTGAGCAGTGGGTTGTTTAAGTTGTTTTGCTATTAACTGGTTCATTACCCGGTTATTACAATACAAATGTTTGATTTTCAGACAGAAGATCAATCTCATTTACATTGAGGTGTAACATGGTGCAATGCGATGCAATATATAAAATGTACAAATGTAACAATTTTTCAAACAAAAAGCTTTGTTTCATTTCATCATCTTTTTCAAGTACAAAGTTTTGAAAAAAAAAAAACAAAACCTGCCTGAGGCAGTACGAGGTACTCTAGCTACCAACAAAAAAGAAAAGTATAAAAGAAAAGAAGAAGCAAAGCAGCAAAAATCTGGATCAGTGTCAAGCAGTCTTAGGCCTAAGGGTCTGTCCTCGTCCTCTTCCTGGACGAAGGTCCAAGAGCATCGTCATCAGTGCCGTCATCTGAGCCTGAGTCAATGCCATCTCCGGTCTCCTCCTCAGATGACTCCGCCTCTGCCTCCGCCTCAGTCGCCGCCTCGGACTCATCGTCATCGGGGACTGGTGCCCGTGAGCTACTCCCAACATGAGTGCGCCTCGCCTTGGTACGGGGGTATACTCTACCCTCTCCATCTCCCCCTCGAACAGGAACGGATGGTCCAGTTGGAGCACCTTCTACAGTAGGAATCTGGAAGGGATGCTGAAAAGTACAAATGGCAAACGTATCAGTATGCTACAGAATACCGTATATGAATACAGTGTGAATACTGTGAGTAGTGTATCAGTACAGAATGTCGTATATGAATACAGTGTGAATACTGTGAGCAGTGTATCAGTGCAGAATGCAATATATGAATACAGTGTGTGAATACTGTGGACAGTGTATCAGTGTAGAATGCAGTGTATGAATACAGTGTGCGAATACCGTGAGCAATGTATCAATGCAGAATGTAGTGTATGAGTACAGTGTATGAATGCCGTGAGCAGTGCTGTGAACAGTCTGTGGGCTACAGTGTGTCAGATACCATAAGGGCCGTGTATCAAGTGTTGTGTCGTGCATCAAATTGTGTGAAACAATTTATGTATGGTTTGAGACCGTGGTTAGAAGAACATACCGGAATACTGTAAATGGCCAGAAGGTCGAGGCTTTGCTGAAGCATCCCCATCACCGAGGCGGTCAACTCCAGGGACTTGCGAGTGTAATCGGAGGAAGCCTGCAAAAGTGTTAGAAGCATCAGTATTCTACGGAATATCAAATGAATTGAAATGAACTAACTGTGCAGAATGTAAAATGTAGTAGTACATACCGGAGGCAAGCCGTAGAATCCGACTAGCTCGTGATCAGCCGGAGGGGGAGCAATGGGGATCTAGTAAGTCGCCCTACCACGCTCTCGGCACGTCATCGTCACGGGCAGTGCTGGCCAACTAGCCCCCTGCCCTCTCCGAGCTCCGCTCCTGCCACGGTCCCGAGCCACCCTCGGTGCTCCCACTCCCGCTCCTGCCCCTACTCCAGCCGCTGACGCCGCAGGCCTCTCTTTCCCGGCTCGATGATCGCTGCTCAAAGGTCGTATGATGTACGTCTGAACGTACTCTGAGTAGTCGCCTATGCCTCTGAAGCGTGTCGCATCCCAGCCGATCGTATAATCGGCCATCTGCTCAGGGGTGAACCTCTCGGTATCCCTCATATGCTCAGGAGGGTGAACCGGGACTATCTGTTCTAGCAAACCCAGGGTCTGGCGTAGGAAACGCTCACCCAGGTACCAAGCCCGATACACCAGCCCCTCCAGCAAGATCCTGAAGCGTGCAGTCTTCTCGGCACCGGCAAATCGCTCCCGCATCGCAGCTGGCAATGGAGCCCAAGGCTGCCAGGTGATCTGTAAATGGCATGCAGTTTGTTATCTACTGTTATTGAAAATACAATGTAAAGCGAAGTTTAAATAAACTCTAAAGGTTGAACATACCTCCGTGGGGGTGATGGTGTCAAAGTAGCGGCGGAAGAAGATGAATGTCTCTTGCTGTCTCTGCACGTATCTCAAGTCAAAGCATCGGGAGAATGGAACGACAAGAGGGATCTCCTCGTCAGGCACTGGTGCAAGCCTCGGAAAGTAGGCGTAGACCCACAACTGCAGAGTAAGTATCAGTATGCTTATCAGATAAAGCGAAATGCAGAATAAAGCAGAAATCACAGAGCCGTATATTGTGCAGTGTATTGTGCAGAGTGTACAGTGTGTGCAGTGTACAGTCAGTGTAAAACAGAGTATATGTGTGCCGTGTGTGCAGTATATAGTCAACGTGAAGCAGACTGCAGTGTGTGCATTGTACAGAGTACAGAAAATGTAAAGTAGAAATGTAAAGTGGAAAAGAAGATGTACCTCCCAAGCCCGCCAGTAGCCTCCGAGCAACTGCCCGCTGCAACGGGAGGCTGAGCTCATGTATCCGTACAGAGTGGCCAAGGCAGCGCTACCCCAGTCGTAGCGTAGGATCCGCGTGATGTCCACTAGTGCACTCAACAAACAGAGAGGCACGGTGTTCGCCCGATCAGCGAAAATGGTCGTCCCCCGTAGAAACAAGAGAAAGCCGCAGGCGTACTGCTCCACCTCCTCCTGGGTCATTGGTGCCTCCTCAGCCAAGGCTGGCTGAACCCTGAACTGGACCTCGAACCATGAATATCTGACGAAGCCGGGGCGTGCGAGAGGCGGCATCTCGCCCAACAAGTAAATTTGAGCGGCCTCCCACTCGTCCATGTCGGTGTCGAAGGGGATCGGATCACCCCCTACCTCGATGCCGGTAAGCATCGAGAAGTCATAGGGAGTCATCGTCATGTCTCCCGCGACCGAGAAGTGAAATGAGTCGGTGGTGTCCCACCATCTCTCCACCAGAGCGGCGAGAAGAGGCCTGCTCGTAGTGAGGCGTAAAAGTCCTCTGCAGAAGGCGTCGAAGCCGGCCTGGTCTACGATGTGACGGACCGCACTTGGCAGCTCCATGTACCAGTCCCGAGCGGCAATGTTCCCATACCCCCAGAAGGCATGGGAGTCTCCCTGTGTTCAAGCAAAACAGTTGCGAAGCAATATAAAATGAACAGTTTTGAAGAGCATTCAGAATTGGTGACAATACAGCGTGTGTGCACGTTCTAAGTTCAAACAAATATCGGGTGTCGGTGTGCTCGAAGTAAACTATGGCATATGATGTGTCAGTGTTTCCGAGTGGCTCAGTGCAGATACAGCGTGTGTGCACGTTTTCAGATTCAAACAAACATCGGGTGCCGATGTGCTTACAGTGAACTACAACATGCAATGTGTTGGTGTGTTTGGACGATTCAGTGACAATACAGCGTGTGTGCACGTGTTTAGATTCAAACAGACCTCAAGTGTGAAAGTGTGTTCACAGTCAACTACAGGGTGTAATGTATCGATGTATCCGGGCTAAGCAGTTAGAGAACAGAGTCAACTATGGCAGTAATATTCTACATTACGGAAAATAAAGAGGGAAGGCTGTACCTCAGAAGCGCCGAAAGACAGATGAGACTCTAGCTCGCGCAGAAGCAGCTCTGGTGGCACCCTCTTGTCGAAACTCCGGAACTGGCGGAGACCATCGGGAGGTAACACGTGAATCGCCGGCCTGTAGGTCGCCGGGTCGAACAGGCGGACGCTTTGAGGCAAGAGCTCGACCTCGGGATCCATCTCATGCTCCGGGGGAGTCCCGCCCTGTGGAAGATCGTCTGCCATCTCAGAGAGAGTGTGAAAATGGCCGGAAATGTGGAAACTGGGCTAGAATATGAAAAGTCAATGGAAAGTCAACCCTGAGAGGGCGGAAAATGGCCAGAAAAGTCAGAATGCAGAAGAGGCACGAAGATCAAGAGGAGCTCGGGGGAAACAAACCCCAAGAGGCAGAAATCAAGAAAGAGACACCGAAACAAAGTTTTGTTCGGTTCAAAACGTTCGAAACGCGGAGGTATTTGCGAATCAAACGTTGAAATGAGCGCTAAAACCGAGGAAAACGGTGAATGGAAGAGAGAAAAATGCTGTAGAGAGAGAGGGGGAGGTTTTTCGCACAAGAGGCAAGTGCCAAAATAGGGTTTGAAGCCCTATTTTAAAAGACCCGAGGCCAAAAGACCAAACTGCCCCGATTCAGGCACTTTTGGCCGGTCGGCCACATTGTTGGCTGGTTGGCCAAATATTTGGCCGGTGGGCAGCCGGTGACCTCCTCTGATGGCCGGTGAGCCTCCTTCACCCTTGTTTGGGTCGGATGTGTGGTTTGGGGCCTTCATTGCTCAAGACAGTGCAAGAAAGTGCATTTTCGAAGCTCAACCGGTCTCCGTTTTGACCTTGGACCGTGTCTTCTGTGCGTGGCACTCGAATACGAGTGCGATGTATCCTTTTGTATCCTTCTGTCTTTTACATGATTCGAAAGTTGCCCTACATGTGTCGCTTTACAACGCTTTGATATGAACGCGCGTTAGGACATATGTCGTTTCATTCGCATCGTTATGCACATATCTCGCATTGTCATGCACGTCATCATACTTGCATTAGTATGCACATTCTTGGGTCGCGTCGTCAAGCGTACCTCGTTTGCATTATCATGCATCAAAAGCCGCGCGTTGTCGCGCATTCAATTTCACATGCATCATCATGCATCATCATGCATTTGCATTTCAAAAAAAAAACACATGCGTCATTTGCATCCCAAAAAAAAAATGCATCGTCATGCATTTTCCCTTTCATGCATTTATCATGCATTTAAAAAAAAAAACAACAAAAAATGCATCGTCATGCATTTTCCCTTTCATGCATTTGTCATACATTTCAAAAATTTTCAAAAAAAAAAACAACAAACAAAAACATGCATCATTGTAATAGTGCATGTGTCATGCATCATTGTATATAATGCATATGTCATGCATTCCATTGTATAGACTGCATATGTCATGCATCCACTGTATATATTCCATCCATTGCATATTGTAAATATTGCATTGTAGCTTGCATGCATTCACTGCATCACCCCCACCTACGGCTTGCGCCTTTCCAGATTAAGCTTGGTCCGGTATGTGCCCATACTTTTCACGTCGAAGCATAGCCATTTTTGACCGACCTTGAGACTCAGACGTCACCAGTTGAGCACTCGGTGATATTGCATATTGTGCTTGCTCAGAAGTTTCAGAGTCTCGGCTGCGAGCCTTGCCTCCGGACTTCCGGACTCTTTTGTGCTTTGCCTCAGTTTGCGAACCAGGCTCCGTTTTCTCTGTTTTCTCTTCCCGAAGGGAGGGAGAGGTCTCGTAGATCATCTCTCAGTGTCCGTAGGCTACGTTTCGTGGTCGTAGGCCGTTATGCCCGTTTGGAGTTCAGTTTCCGGTTTTTCGGAGCCGTTGGCCGTGTGCCTCGGTTCGGGACTGTTTAACCACCTCCGTTTGCTCCATTTTTTGGCATGCATCTTATTTACTCCCTTTTGAGGGACACTGCGGTCCGAGAGACCAACTTTGTGGTCGGACACAACTTCCGGTGCCTAACAGCCCACTTTCGGGGCCCCGAACTGCGTGTTTTGGCTCCCGAACCTTCATTCTACATTTTTGGGCTCCGACCCAAACCCGACCCAAACTTGAGATAGTCATATTTTGAGGTTCTTTTCATGTTTGATTAAGGACCTTTTGCTGTTTGAGATCTCCTCCTATCACTTGCTTCTTTAACGCTCTTTTAGGCCTATTTTTGCACGGTATTTTAGGCTTACTTGTGAGCTGTTTCGGACTTGGTCATAAACTACAAAGTGTCTTGTTTTGAGCCCCTCTTCAAATTTGTTGAAGGGCTCTCTGCCATTTGGGTCCAGCAGCTACCACTTGCCTTTATATCCCACTTTTTGGCCTTTTTTGGGGGGGGAAACTTGAATTGTTTCCCCCCCCCCCCCCTTCCCCCTCTTTTCCAACTCTTTTACTTATAAAACCAGCAGCTCCCAGCTGTGTTAGGGGGTTAGAAAATTTTAGTTTTGAGCTCTCTCATTAAATTTCTCTCTCTCTCTACTCTAAACCTCAAAACCCCTTAAGTTCTTAACCATTTTTACACACCATCACCTAGCACCACACCACCACTTCCATTTCCAGCAGCTTGGAGGTCTTCTCAGAGGCTAGGAGGCAGCAAATTTGGTCCAAGAAGTTGCTAAAGATTGGTCTACAAGGGTGAGTTACCATTTCCCTCTTTCTAGCTCATTTTTTGCAACATTTCTTAGCCTCTCTTTCTTGTATATCTGAGCTCCGGCCATAACTGAAAGTAGTGTTTTTTTGAGCTCTATTTCATGTTTCATTAAGGGACTTTTGTCATTTGAGGTCCCCATCTTGCACTTGCTTCATTATCCCTCTTGTATGCCTATTTCTTGCGTAGTATTTTAGGCTTATGTATAATCTGTTTTGAGGCATGTCATAAACTGAAGAGTTGCTTATTTTGATCCCTTCTTCAACATTGTTGAAGGGCTCATTTCTGTTTGTGGCCTCCATTTACTACTTGTCATTATATCTATCTTTTGGCCATTTTTTTTTGCATGATTTGTTAGCCTCGGATGCTTCTATTTTTGGTCTCTTTTCAGAACTGAAAACAGTCTTATTTTGACCCCCTCTTCATGTTTCATTAAGGGTCTTTCATGGTTTGAGGCATCTTTTATATACTTGTGTTATATCCCTATTTTTGGCCTTATTTTGCATAGCATTTTGAGCATTCTTGCATACTGTTTTGGGTCCGGCCATCAACTGTAAAGTGTATTATTTTTGGCCCCTCTTCAACATTGTTGAAGGGCCCCTTTGTATTTAAGGCCAGCAACCACTACTTGCTTCTTTGTCCATCTTTTGGCCCTTTTCTTGCATGAGAGCTTAGCCATACCTGTGTTGGTTTTTGTGGTTTACCATAAACTGTAAAACATCATATTTTGGGCCCCTCTTCAACATTGCTGAAGGGCCCTAATCTGTTAGGGGTCAGCAACTGTGAGTTGCTTCTTTATCTCACATTTAGGGCTATTTTTGCATGCTAGTTTTGCCCTATTTGTGTTTGCTGTTTGGCCTTGCTTAGAACTGTAAACATGCTTCTTTTGGGGCTTCCTTGATTCTGTCTTCACATGTCATGATCAAATAATGCATTCTTGATGTAGCTACAAGTCATTTCATGTGCTTAATCTCGCATTTCGGGGCCATTTCATACATCGGGTGCCATGTGTTTATGATTCGGGGCTGTTTTGGGTCATGTTTTGCTGCTGAAACTTGCATGTTTGCATATCACATTTCATGCCTTGCCATGTCTCATTAGAGTGGCATTTCGTGCCTTAGCTTCGGTCCTCAGTTTGCGTGCATGTGTGCACGCATTCCGAGTTGTCTCATTTTCATCTCATGGCCTCCTATGTGAGTGTCTGAGGTCCACTCATATTGGTGTAAGCCCATTGTGCATTGTGTATGCCATTTCATTTCATAGCATTGCGTATGCTAGGTTGTATGGTAGAGCATTTGTGTATGCCATGTCACCTCGTGCATCGTGCATGCCATTTCATAGCATTGTGTATGCTAGGTTGTATCTTAGTTGCATTTCATGCATTTATCAGCATATGCATCGTGTTTGGGGTAGGAGTTAGCCCGGGCACGGGAAACGAGGTACGTTTCGTACTTCCCGAGTGACGGAACGTGTCTCAATTCCCAGTCACTGACACTCCGATTATCCATGATGGAGTTAGGTTTTAGTTGAGTTTTCATGTGCATTCATTCCATATTGAGTTGCACAAATCGACTCCTCGGCCATCATGCATCGAGATGCGTGATTGGTGGCACGAGGATCGAGGCATGCATACATTTGTGAAAAATACATTGATATGCCCCTTTCCTGTTCTCTGTTGCAGGCAAATCAAGAATCAGCAACTTCCGGAGCTTGGCACGCTTTCCAAGAAATCATTGTAAAACAGAGGCTAATCAGGGCATCCCAGTGGATTTCCGCGCAAGTAGCCCAAACATACATCATTCACAGAATCAAGGCAGTCCCTGGCTTGCATGCCAGTTTGTAGCTTTCCTAGTTAATTTTGTAAATTAATTAGGGATTTGTATATTATTTGGACTGTATTATTTGGACTGTATTATTTGGGACTGTATATTTATTCGGACCCTCTGTGCGAGGGCATAACTGTAATAAGTGTGCGTGTGTGTGTTTGTATGTCTTCCAACCCCACGTCTTTCTCCCTTTATTTACCCGCTTATGATGGTTAGATTAGGGCAGTTCAATTAGCATACAGTATGATAGCATGTTTGCATTCATTCATCTGTTTTGCATGCACCGGGCTCGGCGCATCATACTAACTGCATTGTATTTTCAATTCCAAGTTAAAATACATGTTAGCTGTAGCATTTCATATGCCATGTTTAGAATAGCCGGGCCTGCTATAATTGCATTTTTGCATGTGTTGCATTAGGCATTTCTGTATAATTAGGATCATGCATGGATTTCTAATTAGCTTCTTTTTTGGCTTGGAGTACTCGGTAAGTTTTATGCTTTAGCATCCTTGCATGCGTGTGAGTGACTGCCATGAATAGCATGCTTTCCATGAGGCTATGTGTCTCATGTGATATAAACTGCCTGAATGCCTGTGGGTGAAGGTTGGGTTATTTGGATTGGAACAAATCATCAACTATGAGTTTTAAGCCCACTAGATAGTGGCAAAACCA